AGGCAGTGGCAAAAAGTAGGCGCAAGTAGACGCACGTTGCACACAAGCAGCGAAAAAAAGCCATTTCAATGCTCCTGCGCACGCTGCAATAGACCAATTTCGATATATTAATATTCTAACTTGGCTCCGAGGCTTAGGGGAATAAAACAAAAGAAATCGACAATAAATCACATCGAGGTTGAGGGATGAATAAATCATTTCTTTTGTTTTATTCCCCTAAGCCTCGGAGCCAAGTTAGAATATTAATATATCGAAATTGGTCTATTCAGTACTTGAAGTAAACAAGAAAAAAGTTGCGTTGACTTGTGTTGGGTAGCCAAACGGTGAAAAACTTGCGTCTACTTGCGCGCAAATTTGATCTCGATCAGAGTGAAGGCAAGTCATCGCAAGTGAACGCAAAGCGCAAGTCCTGGCCAAACGACATGCAAACGAAGTAGACACAAGTTGACAACTTGCGTAACCGTTTGGCAAGGGCTTGAGCTATTAATAGAGATGATATCCATAGCAACAACTAGACAACTGCTCCAACTGCGTAAGGCGACAATTCTAGAACAGGAAGCAAATCAAACAAACGACAGCGCCTGTACAATCGACCGCACGTGTCAGGGCAGTGTACTAAACATTTAAGACAATATAAAGTGATCATAATTGCCCATGACATTCACATAATCTCAATTCATGCAAATCTAATTTGATGTAGCTTTGCAGATTTCTTAAGTCACCCGAATATGCCCCGAGACAATAGCAGAACCGTCACCTCATAAATAATAAAAAATCATAAATAATAAACAATTCTTGAAATTGCTTTGTCAGCTAATAAATTTCGACCGAAATAAACAAAAGGTAAAAGTTCCAAAAATAGACAAATTTGTCAGCATGAGAAGATAAACAACTTTCAGCTGGAGTCCGCGATAAGTGCTGATTTCACGACGACGGCGTGCCGAAGAAAATAAATATTCTGAGTAAATTTCAACTTTCGTTAACAACCCTTGCACTAATACCATTAAGCTCTGTTTCGGTGACACAGCTTAATAACGCCGGTTCCCTGCTAGGAATTACGCAATAAATACTGGCCGAGCAAAGAGTAGAAAAAATCCCAGGGGTTCTCCCATAAAAAAAGGGACGGGGTGATCGTCGGAACTTTTGAAAGAAACCCCTAAAAGGTACCGAAACCTCGTTTTGTGGGCGTGGCTCGAATTCATTTTCACCTCTAAGAGGTACCAGTTCTAACGACATGTCAGTTCCTGACATTTTATTTCGGCTTAATGCCCTTAAAGGAACCAGTAGTCATGTTAGATTTAAACACCCTAAGCGGTACCAAACCACGAATTTTACCCCCTAAACGATACGACGATCAACCCCCCCCCCCCCCCCCCCCATCACTTTTACATGCGAGTTTCCCCGCCATGGGAGAAAAAAAACGCACTTACCCTAATACTACTACTAAGAAGTCTAACCAGTTCCACGCATTTCTAAGATAAGCGTATTTGTGAAGCGCGAATCCCCGGCCAATGATCTTGAGGAACATTTCCATTGTGTAAATGGCTGCGAAGACATATCTGTGGGATGAAAAAGACGTACGTGCTTGTTAGTGTTTGACAATGTCCCGGGGGGGTACTCCCCAAAATTTTGGGTAGGGGTGTGCGGCACGCTTCTTGAAACCCTTACCCTATTTCAGACCAAAATATTGATTTTCCCTACCCTATTTCAGACCTGACCCTTACAATTTCCGGGCAAATTTCCCCCGTTAAAGCCAAAATGGCAAAAATCTATACCCTATTTCAGACCAGTAGGCAAAACATACCCTATTTCAGACCAAAATGGTCAAAATCTATACCCGTTTTCAGACCAAAACGGCTCAAAAACCATACCCTTTGGCGCCGCACATACCTATATAGCTTATATAAGGGAGTACCCCCCCCCCCCCCCCACCCGGGGACAGTGTATTGATGAAAAATTGCATGTTCACGATTCTTGCGGCAATTAACGAGTGTTAAATACAATCATTTGGTTTTAACTGAACGCAGGAGCCATAATCAGGGACGGAGACCGTAACTCTATAGATATTCTAGTATTGGGGTTGTCCCCATGTGTTGTAGTAGTTGTGCTATTTTTAGAAATACATACGCAATCAGGCGCGCGAGTTTCGCGCGTGTGTCGCGCGAGGAGATTTGTCAAAAAAAACTTTGGGCAGAAAATGGCGGCCAGCACTCGGACAACATTGTTTTTGTTGGCGAGGAGGAGATGGCGTTTATGTCCTTCCTCCGTTAGCTTTTCAAACTTGAAGAAGTCCTTGGAGGACAACTTTCTTGACTCGAGTGATTCCAACAGTGACGAAAGTAGTTCAAAACCCTGTGAATTACGAAGAAAGTGAAGACGATGATACTATCGCAGATCGCGATCGCCTGGGGAAGATGATTACGAGCTTCGCGATTCGTCGTGCGATTTCGTTTTTTTTTAAATGAAATTTAATGTGGAATTCCCTCGTTAGGTAATGAATTTTTCTTGAATCTTATAGCCTTTTATCAGTTTGAAATAAAAAGGTATTCCCTTTTCCTATCCCTGTGAAAATCTCAACAGCGCTAGAGAAAGCCATTCCAAGTCAACCGGCTGTCAGGATCGACTGTCAGGAGCAAGCGAATAAGAATCAAGCTAAGATCTGTCACAACTTGAACTTTATGATCCTTTATCTAAACCTCGTACGTAATGACAAACTAGTTCGCTTTTAGTGTTTTATCTTTACATTTTAACCGCAGGAAAGCGGTATTTTGTAGGAATTCACTGGTTCAACAGGTTTTTGTGTAAGGCTTTGGCCGGCAAAACTACAAAAGTTGTACTTCGCGGCCACGGCAATCTGAATCGAAAGAACCGGCGAAAAAGCTTTGGAAAAGACCTCAAGCAATTGCAGAGTTGTAAGTAAATTACCTGTCTACACAAAAAGTTCAATGGTTGAGTGCATCAGAAACAATTCCTGTGGTTTTGAGAGCAAGGTTTTCAGACCTCGTTTACTTTTTTTTCGTTTCTCAAGCGAATTAAGCCGTTATAAAATTTTCAATTGCCGCGTAAACAGTCAAACGCTTGATTTATTTAGGAACCCCGATCGAGTGGTTGTTTTTGTACATCCACAAGAGAATTATAGCTATTACGGTCAAGCTATCGATAGTATTAGTTAAAGAATACAAAAAGCTATTCTTTTAACCGAAAATTTGGAGTATTTCGCAGCAAACGAAATTGCCATCGATCAAATAGCGTGAATTTTAGCGAGGCTGCCGAAATATTCAGCAAGCCGATTAAAGCTTTATATAAACTTTGTTGTTGTTTTGTTGTTCTTGTATATGTTTTTCAAGAACAATGCATGATGAGCCACTTGGCTCCTCCGATCCATTGGTTATTGGAACATACTTTAACTTCTTATTTTTTTAGAGAGAAATGCCGCGACAGTATATCACTTCAGCGAAATAGGAAAGCCGTTCTTTTATAAGCTTACTAAGCTTATATCCAGAAAATTACATGATAAGTCGCATGCGGTGATTTCTCTACATTTGTGGCTATTTCTCTGACACTATGAAGTCAATATCTTAGCTGGTCAGTACTGTACTACACTACTATATCTCTGGTAGTTTCAGCCATTTTCTTCTTTTCGAATTTTTAATAACAACAACAACTTTATTTACCCATTATTAATTACATAAAAGAATAATAGTTTCTTGTATTTACATAGATGTGCAGCTTCTTCAATCTCTGAGTTCAATGCTGGGCAAATTTTGAATCTCAATTTTCCCTTTATCTGACAAAACTGACGCTGACTTTGAAGGCAAACTGAACTTCATTTTTATTATTATTATTATTATTATTTAATCAGTTGTTGAGTTGCGAAAAAATGCATACGAGTAAGCTTACCTGCATGTAATAAAATAATTATTTGGGATCAGAATAGGAGTAGAGATGATCATATAATTACTGCAGCAGAAAAGCACTCATAAAACAAATTATTTATCAGGTTCATAACAAGGGCTATAAGACTGCATGCCGAGCTGCCTTGCCTACCCTGAAAAGTGATGGATCCTTAACACCCTTAACCGTATGGAACATTCATTGGTCTCCTCTGCAGTTCTTTGACTTTTCGCTGAAATCGCGAAGCGCAATAAACCGACCCGAAGACCCCCGAAAGAGATCGCCAATTTGTAAATATATAAAGCATACACGAAGTTTTGCGAGTTTTCTCGCGCGTTTGCGTGTTTTTCTTACGTCACGAGGTTCTAAAAATAGCTCCAAAAAGTATTCACATGGGACACGCGCGCTCTGAATTTACGGTCTCCGTCCCTGATTATGGCTCCTGCTGAACGTTAATCATATTTGTGTTAAGGAAGATAAACCTATGATAGCAAAATTTCGCCGTTTCCATAGAGACTGACACCTACGTAATCTAAAAAAGATTAACATTACGTGTTAAACCGTGATAACATAGTAATTTATAACACAAGGAAAGCCAATTATGCAAAAACAACAGCCGGTTAGCGACGATCAATACACTGATAAACAATTTTTTTTTCTTCTTCTCGAAATTGAAACTAAACAGATTGAAAACAAAAACAACAAAAACAATCAATCGGCGAATACCATCGCCCAGACTTTGCCGCGGTCAACAGCGGTCAAATTCGAAACCTCATCACAGAAATGATTGTCTTAAAATCCAGAAAAGGTTGATAGTTTCTGCAATTTGTAAAGAAAGAAAGCTGTTTGTCGATTCATTTCACACAGGCCCTTTTAAATGAGCGGTTTCATGGAGGGGCAATAAAAAGAATCAATTTGGCCATCACTTCACTGCAAAAGTTGTCCAATATGTCGTCAGTCCAGTTCCAATTTTTGTTTTTATGAGCTTGACAAGATAACCACATGACTATGGTTTATTGGCATATAGAATTAAAGAAAAATAAACAAACAAATAGGGGAGAGATATGAGTCAGTGGCACAAGCTACTCGGTAAAAATAATTCCTAGTTCTCCCAACAGAGTTCGAACCTATGACCGTCCGCACACCGGTCGGACGCTCTACCACTGAGCTACAGGAGACTCGTGGGAGCTAAGGCCATATATCTAGGTTCAAATGCGACAAACTTCCTGCATACTGCTGGATTAGTTTTGACGATATATGAGATATGTGTGCAAAGAAATGATGGTGACTTTTAAGCTTGGTAGAAACACAAGGAGAATGAATTTGCTTCAGAACTTTCATCTTTCAGGAGGTTTAAAGTCGATCATGTCTTGAACCCTTTCACTCCCAAGAGTGCTAAGCTCAAAACTGAGTAAAAAATCTTGAATTTCATTTTGCCAAAACAAACAAACAACAAACAAACAAAACAAACAAACAAACAAACAAACAAACAAACAACAAACAAACAAACAAACACACCACCACCACTTGAAAGTACTGCTCAATAGCTTTCATTTGAATGGTCACACACTAGGGTTTCATCCACAGACTTAAAAGTTAGAACCACCTTGTACAGCGAAATAAACAGTACCACATGAACGTACTGCTAATAGCTTTCATTTGAATGGTCACTAGGTTTTCATCCACAGACTTAAAAGTTACAACCACATTTATTGACTCAAGGTTTGATTCTGGGAATGAAAGGGTTAACAGTAATGTTGGCATAACTTGTGAAGTTTAATTTCCAAGGGTAGAAAATTCCTTACAAGTTCCAACTGGCGTCAACTAGTCTCCAATTCAATCCATGAAAAGATAGCTGGAGTCTACGAACAACCGCCATATTTGTTTTGTTGCGTCAGCATCGACTGTTGCTAAGCAACGTCCGATAAATCACCGAACTCATAAACCAAACTTCACACCGATGTTTTTATGAAAAAAAATTTGATTGAAATTCAATGATAAACGTAAAGCCAAAACTTAGCAAAGACGTGGTGGACATATGGCGTCAAAAAGTAAAAAACGTACTTTTTAAAGGAGCTATGTGACGGTATATTAAGTCATTTTTTGCGATGTTGAAAATTACCTTAAGGGAGCTACGTCACGGTTGGTGCATCTTGAAAAAATTGGCCAATTTTTTTAAGTTCGCCATTCACAATCCGTCTTAATCTTCTCCATCCTCAACCATCCTTGTTCCTGTTTGGTTTATTATCACCCCTTTGGTGTTTTTCTACCTTAGCCAACTATGATTTTGAGGCTTTCTACAATTTGAAGGTGATTTTGCACTTCGCAAAAATGCCTTAAAATATGATAAACCAAACAGGAACAAGGATGGTTAAGATTGGGGAAGATTGAGACGGATTACGAACAGCGAACTTGAAAAAGTTAGGCTCCATTTTTCAAGATGACCATACGTGAAATAGGTACAAAAAATTGTTTGCTGCTGCGTAGCACTCAATCAGATACGTGAAATAGGTCCTTTCAGTAACATTGTTCGTCCTTGATTTTATCAACGAAGCTCAAGAAAAGAGCATTGGAGCATTTCATTTCTTCTAAAGGTTTGTCAGTTACAGTCCGTCTGTTCGCAGTTTGGACTACACAGAGAAGAGAGACAAAGATACAGCCGAAGCTCTCTGAGCGGACATTCTCGTAAGCGGACAGCTCTACTTACGGCCACCTTGTGACAAAACCGCGTTTTAACTCTAGCTCATACAAACTCTGTATTAACACATTCTTGTAAGCGGCCAGCTCCAGTTGCGGACATTTTTTCTGCTTCCCGAGGGTGTCCGCTTAATTAACCCTTTCACTCCCAGAGTCAAACCTTGAGTCAATAAATGTGGTTCTAAGTTTTGAGTCTGTGTATGAAACCCTAGTGTGTGACCATTCAAATGAAAGCTATTGAGCAGTACTTTCATGTGGTACTGTTGTTATGCTGTACAAGGTGGTTCTAACTTTTAAGTCTGTGGATGAAAACCTAGCGTGTGACCATTCAAATGAAAGCTATCGAGCAGTACTTTCAAGTGGTGCTGTTTGTTTTTGACAATTTTTTCAAAATGAAATTCAAGATTTTATCCTCAGTTTTGAGCTTAGCACTCTTGTAACAGTAACACAAATTAGCTACAAAAATACAGACAAAAAACTATAAATACTCACTCTGCCTCTTCCGGTGGATTGCTCATTGCCAGGAATACACAGTTTGTTAAAATTGTCAGTAGAATAATAAGTTCGAATAATGTGCGCTTTGGTCAAGGAATATAACGACATAAGCTCTAAAACTAACTCATAAAAATACATGATACAAAAAAAAACAGCTCACAAAAATACACGAGACACAGCAGGTACTACAAACTACACAAAACAGGCAAATATACATGACATACAGCTGGGTCTACAGACGATAGACTTACCATAGTTACCACCAAAAGGGCTATGTCACGCTAGTATCACGCCATGTTAAAAGGACTAGGTCACGCTATATTTTTTGGGTGATTTTAGTCACGGTATCCCGAGAAAATTCAAGTTTATCTCAACGTAATCCGTTTGAATCTTGTTCATTTATGACCATCCATATCCCTTTTGAGCTTTCTTGTATTTCTTTTGTGTTTTTCTTTCGTTTCAAACCACCACTGAAAAGTTTCATTCGCCGCTTTTAAAGGAGCTACGACACGGATGGCGCATCTTGAAAAGGTTTCAAGTTCGCTGTTCGTAATCCGTCTCAATCTTCACCAATCTTTGCCATCCTTGTTTCGTTTTGGTTTATTATTACCTCTTTGATGTTTTTCTATCTCAACAAATCGTTATTTCCAGAGTTCCTCCGATTTAAAGGTAATTTTGTAGACCACAAAAAAAATATACTTCATATTTCGTGACATAGCTCCTTTAAAACCAGTTTGTATGTGACAGAATCACCTAAACTAGCACAGACCCAGTCCCTGTGAGTTCACCACTATCTTCTTTGTAATGTTTCTTATTAGAAGAGAAGTAGTGTGAAGTGTGAGCCGTCTCCTCATCCGAACCAGAAGAATTTCGCGTCCTATTAAAGGAGCTATGTCACGATATTTTAAGTCATTTTTGCGAAGTGCAAAATCACCTTCAAATTGAAGAAAGCCTCCAAATAATAGTTTACTTAGGTAGAAAAATACCAAAGGGGTAATAATAAACCAAACAGGAACAAGGATGGTTTAGGATGGAGAAGATTAAGACGGATTGCGAATGGCTAACTTGAAAAAATTGGCCAATTTTTTTAAGATGCGCCAACCGTGACGTAGCTACTTTAAGCCCAAACTAGGATGTGAGTTGACAAGAGTTCAAACTCTCGCTCTCGCTTGGCCTGAAACTCTCATGTACTATCAGCGACTCTCGTGCGCTCTCATCGAATTTGAACCTGCTCAAATGTTTCTTGAGATTCATCAACGACTCAGGACTCTCGCTCTCGTTTGGCCCGAGGTGATGATAGTCACTGAGAGTCGAAGAAAACTCTCGCCGGTGAGAGACAACTCTCAGCAACTCTTGTTTTCGATTTGCCCGGGCTTTAAATACACAAACGAAAAATCATTTTTGCCAGAAAAATGGCAATAAGACAACTGAAAAAGCCTTATAAAGGGTTTTCATGAAAAAATGAAACATTAAGGGCCAACTATTTAAACAAAGTTTAGACAGGGTTTAACAAAACCGTGGCCTAACTCGAGTTTAAACAGTGGCCAACATCAATGTGTAAACGTTATTTACAGTAAACCCTGCTGTTTAGAAGGTGTATAACACAGACTAAAGCAAGAATTAGCTACTAAGACTGACCTACTTATAAGAAGATTTAGACCCATTAAATTCTCTTAAACCACGGCCTAACTTAGACTTCGTTTAAACATTCGGCCCTAACGGTTAGTTAAACTGTCCTCAGAACACGAGATCAAACAAGCAAGCAAGCAAGCAAGCAAATAAACAAACAGCAACATAATACACAAACACGCCTAAAACAAGCAGTTTATCCTCCCAATTTCAAATATAATGTCACTAATTAACGTAATAAATTGCCATGTAATAAAAGGATATTGATGTGTTATTAGAAAAAGTACAAATCTTCTAATCCTGTTTCTTGGACTGAAGAGGTAAAGGGAGTCGGACGCATGGAAGCGGTAGACATACTGTTTATTGAACTTGTTCGCAACGATGAGAAACGTCTGGAAATAGAAACGTTAAGAACAAAAAAAAATCAGATATTAAATAAACTCAATTACACACACAAGTGATATTTATATTTAGCTGGATAAAAAAGAATACGTATTCACGTAATCAGAGACACTTTTGTAAGGTAATGAGAATTAATCTCGCCGAAAACACCACAATTTACGCCTTTGGGGAAATAATTAAATCTGCCTTCCGTTTCCACTGCGGTCAAATGTTTGAATATAGATCCGGCAAAATCAGACTTATTTTGGAGTACTTACGTCCTGTTAAGGGTATAAATTTAAAATCCGGAGATATTTTTGAATCTGAATGGAATAGTTTTGACAATCAAATCTGATACCAAGGCTACCGAAATAGGTGATATATAAGTGTCATTGACGAAAGCGAATATCAGAAAAGACCTTTTCACCATAAAACGTAGTAACTGGATTGTTATACGCGGCAAGGGCTTTATTTTAATCTTTCTCGAAAGCTTGTAATTTGAATAAAGGAAAAGTAAGCTTTTTTTGTGCTAATAAAGATAAATATTCCGACACAGTTTATAAACATTGAACAAGTATGAAGACTGAAGTGCGTGCGTGAAACAGGCCTCAAACCGCTTCGCTATTCATCACCACTCGACGCGAATTTGCAAGTTCATGACAAATTCGGAAGCTATCTTGTCATTAATTGGAAATACAATCTGATTGAGCGGGAATAAATAAAGGAGAGCGCATATTATTCTATTTACGAATGACAGGCGGCATTCCACTTTCACACAACTTCTATTGGTTGATAACCATCTCATCTCAAAAAATTAGGCACAAAATTATGTGGCGAATATCACAACGAGAAAGGCGATATTCTCCATTAAATTAAAAAGTGAATTTACTTATTAGTCCGTGGCAGTGGGTACGTGTCTTCTCGGCAAAAATCAAGAAAGTAATTGATAAATTCTCGGCAAATAGCACGGGCGCTA